GGAGAACTAGAGAATGGACTACAGGCTTGAATTATGCAGCAGCAGATTGTCAGGTGGAATTAAGGACAATGGGTTGAATGTTTAAAATATGGATCTGTGTGTGTTCAAGAGAAAGAGATCAAGAGTACACTTGTAAATGTGCATGTTTGAGATAAGTAAGGACCCTCACTGTGTGTATGGTGTTAGCAAGCTGTGTGCAGCATTGTAATGGACCAGACTGATGACTTCTGATTCATAGCGATGAGGAAAAAAGGGGTGGGGGTACAAGACAGATCATACTATGTGAGTAGCATTGGAGGTTGAATCTACTTCCATATATTCTTGGCTGACTTCTGGAGGCCTTGCTCATGTGGATTGAGAGCTGCACTCAATAAACCCTCTACGGCTGCACAGAGGATTCTGCTGCCTAACATGCTCACGTTTATCTCTCAAATGTATACAGAAACACAAAATCCTTCCCACTCACTGTGTAAATTATCACATACTAACACCCTCACACACCAGTTTCTAGTTTAAGTATCCCTCATAGAAACAAAACCAAAACACCAACAGCACCAAAACATGTCCCTAGTTAAGGTAGGCCTGAGAACTTTTACCTATAGCCTGGCAAAACCTGGATTCTATTTGGTGTTATTGTTATACCTCCAACACTAGATGAAGTGTTTGTGTTTGTGTGCCTGTATATTACTGCCTGTACTTTTACTGTTTTTTTTTTTCCTGTACACTACTATACTTTGAGTTTTGGTACTGATACCAGTATGATACATTATTTTACCCTGCTTTAAGGAATAGTTGGAAAGGAAAAGTTTTTTTACTACAAAACGAGACAAATTTCTCTAGGTCTTTGTTTTGTATTTAGACTTAACTTCATTACACATTATATAGTCTTTGAAATAGATAACAGTTCTTCTTCATAATATTCACTCAGTGTCTCGCTATGGGATGCAGCCTCCTCCAGCCTGGTAGAAGCATTTATCTCAATCCGCCAATCCTGATTGGCCGGTGAAGGTGTTCATCCG